ATGTTGTTTAATACCTCTCTGTTTGCAAGCTTACTCTTATTAGTCTTCAGTACCTGAAAGCAGTGCAGAATCCAAAAGCTAGCATAAAATATTCCACTGTACAATCTGCTAATTTTAGAATAATGCACTGATCTCAGTTTGTGAGGAAAACTATATCAAAGATTCCTAGTTTGCAAGACTTTATGATAAGGTCCATCTCAACTAGGAGACATTTCAGTTCTTTATTTCAATAAGTAAGACTGGCCTATTCTTGATAAACGCAAGATTTGTGTAAACACAGAATATGTGCTTTATAAAAGAGTCAACATCATTATCTACCCTGTAGTGATGAGACAAAGTCGCAGAAACACTACAGAAGTTAGAAGTTCTGTTTTATAAAAAAATTATGATGCATAAAGATGGGTTTCTCTATTTTGTATCGAAACTATAGTAGCATAGTGAAAAATCTTAAAAGATCGTTTTGCCCCACTGTGTAGACTTGGACCTAGAGCACAGATTCCCTAGACTCTTACTGTACATCTGTGAACAAGTACAACATTACTCCATGGGAAATATCATTGATTTCAACTATATTACTCCACATTCAGAGGCTGTTCTACTATAGTAAGAGTGCTAGCTACTCTTGCAATTTTACATAAACGCATAAAGTAATTGAAGTGCACAAGTTCAGAGCCTCCAATCCTTCAAAATGTCTTCTGCATGCATTCTAAAGAATCAATACATTTCGAACTTTATATATTTCAAAAGTAAAATACTGTTGAGTTACAGTTACTTCTTTACATTCCAAAGTCTCAAACATATCACTTTCACAAGCCTATTTGACTAGCAGTTGCATACAGTAGTGAACACACATAGAAAAGATGAAGAAATAACTTACAACAGGACATACATTTGGGCAGGGCCCTAGACCTCTGTAATAACAGCCACTGCTGTTCTCTTCTTTGAAAAGCAAAGAAAAAAAACACAGATAAAGTTACATAAACAAAGGCAGTCAATGCGGAAAATGACTGTAGTGTGAAACACACAAAAGCTGGAATGCAGCATAATCACAGTGTGGTCACTTTGTGCAAACTGGAGACGAGGCAAATTGCAGAAGCCTACACTACTGATTGAAGAGGAATTGTATAACGCTTGGGCACAATTACATACCCTACTGAGATCATATAAAAAGCCTCAATTATAGTGGAGTATTTCAGCAGTTAAAATATCATATGCATATCAGAATAAAAATTAGTAAGATACTATTAAAAGTATAACAGGTAGTACACACCCTTCATCTGACATCAGTATTTTATGAGTATTGAGTGTACTGTACTAACAACTGTTATAATGTGTATACATAAAGGAGGCAAAGTGGACTGTATTTAGAGTTCTACTGAATTATTTGTAAGCGACATGAACTGATATACTAAAAACCATATAGAGATTAATATTACCTAATCAAATTCAACATCTGCCTGTCCTGCAGAATGATTAGAGAAATTTATCTCTTTCCAACTGTAGTAGTAATAGCCCCTCATATCAAAGATTTATAAAGGAGAGAAAGACCATCCTTTTACGTCACTAGCACCAAATCACTAGTATATACCATAAGAAAAAATGCTTATGAGGAAGCTGCTAGATCAAGAGGTTGAATTTTGTGCCAAGTAATCAACTTCATATTCAAGTAGGTTCAGCACAGTGAAAAAGCGCATCTTGGAAGTGGGTGCAAGGTATTACTTTTATTGAACTTTTTCCAATTTCCTAATGCCAAACTTGAGCTAAGATTCCCTTGCTCTCTTTGGAAGTGAGAAGAACTGGCAGAACTTTTAGAAGGTTAAAAGAAAAAAATATAATTCCTGTGGGACTCTAAAGCTACTATTGTCATCTTCAACACTACCTGAAGTCTTTCAACAGATGGTATACACACTCACATGCTCACACACACACACACACACACACACACACAGAGGGAGGGAGGAGATACCAGAGAGGCACTTCCCAAATACGGAAACATTTCTGGGCTAAAATAAGATTTCAGATTTATCTCTTGTCTTTAAGAAAGATACAGAGTTGCTGCCACAAGGAGCTTTACTGTGGAAATGCATCAATACAATCGGCATTGCTCTCTGAGAACACACATCAACTACTGCAATCATTAAGAACATTGTAATAAAATGAGCTAACAGCTCAGAAAAGCTGTTCCTATAGAAGATTATTTTATAAAAGCCATGATTCACTAAACTTAACAAATAGTTCTTAACATGGGTACTGTAGGTAAAATACAGTTGCTATTCAAGCCAAAAGCTCCCAAAACGCTGATCATGATCCATCTTTACGGAAGCCACTTTTTTCCTGACGTATTTTGCATGCTGGTTAGGATACCTACAGTAAGTCTCAAACGGTGCTGTTCGTCTACGAGTTTATTAGTTCTCTGACGTGAACAATTTTCTAGTAGAATTTTAGCATACAGTCCCAAAGGCAAGAAGACTTCATGGTACACAACCTCAAGCACAAAATTTTGTTAGTTTAAACCTGCCTGTTACCTGTATAACTCTAAGATTTTAATTACCAGAATTATTTTAGATCCTCTAAAGGCCCATGTATACACAGGTATGGTAAAATGTTTAGAAATTTTTAAATAGACATAGGAAAAGTAGTGCCAAAATAGGAAGCATGCAGTTCCTGCAGTTTTAGATACAAGCTTGTTCAAACTCAGCTTAAGCCAATGTGAAAAAAAATCTTTGCTTAAATCACAGATGTACTGCATCTGTGTTTAAACAAACTGCCTTTAAAAACATACCCCCCCCATGAAAAAATGGTACTGCGTATAAGCCTTCAGTTTCATAGGCCATTAAAACCCACTACACCTTTATCTGTTTACTGCAATACTATAAACTATCTACACTCTATGTTCAGCTTGGTTTTTTTGTAAATTGAAGACCACTGCAGGCAGGTGCATTAAAGTAACTTTCATTTTGATCAAAATTCATCATTACTGGAATTCTGTTTAAATAACAGAACTACACTATGGAATGAATTTTCCCTGTTAATAATGAACTTACTACTGTTGGTCCACACACATGGTGGATATTCATGCTAGCACAACTTTCAATGACTGAGGTGGTACAGCTATACCCATAAGACAACTCACCTATATCGGCTCACCCTCTCTCTGCTAATCACCCAAAGGCCAAAGCCTTTGATAAATGTAATAACAGAAAAACACAAATAAGACACAGAATCATGAATCAAAACAATAACAGGGGACTAGAAGAAGCAGAAATACCAAAGTTTCAAAATAAAGATCTTTATTTCAAAATAGTGTTTGAGAATAGCACATCTAGTTAACATAAAATACAAATAGCAAGTTACCATTTTTTAATGGACCAGTTTGCAAAACTACATACTGAAACACTGTACAAGTTCACAAGAACTTTTATAAAATAGACAAGTTCTCATTTTTTAATTTTATTTAAACTATATTTTCACATTTGACTCTTTCTAATTCTGCTTGTTTTAATTACACAAGGTGCTTATAAGACTGCCTATAGAGTGAACATTACAAAACAGGATTTATGAATATAAATATAGAAAAGAACTCCTTAAACTATATACTAATAGTCTCTGCTACAAAGATACATTTTACAAAAGTGCTAATATTTCTATGACAAATAGTAGCAGATTATATTTAAATGTCAAACAAATCACACAATTAACTTTTTTGTAATTAAGTCTGTAATAATTTGATACTTCTAATTACTATAAGGGTTAATAAACACAGTATCTTCACTTCCTAGTATCTCACAAATGAATTGGGAAAAGGAATAATATATGTTGTGTGTGTGCGAGTCTGTGTACATATGTATATATGCAGAAACAGAGCTCTTCTTGTGTTTAGTTTAACAGTACTGGAAAGAAATGTTTAATAGTAAATACATTTCCCTGGTTTTCACAATTTCAATAAAAAAATGGGTTCCTGTAAGTAGATACAATGGTTTTTGTATACTAAACTGTATAAACAAACTTTTTACAAAGAAAAATGACTGCCTAGATTGACATTTTCTTTTTTTATACTCTATTGTCTTGTGGTAAGAGCAATCTTTACTAACACCCACTATTCACTAAAAGCTTGAAAGACAAATGTGCAGTTTTCCAAATACAAAACTGGAACTGCTCAGGCACAGATGTCCTAGAAGGACGAGAGACAGGAAGTCCTTTTCCTCAACCCCCAAAAGCACAGCTGGAACAGGACACAGCCGTAAGTCTTCTCTGCGGCAAGACGGACACCAGGAAGGAGAGCTAACAGGGCTACCTAGCCCCGGAGAGTGTGTCCTCACCACCACTGCATCATTCGTAGACCTACACTGGGCAAAGCACTGACTACACTTCCTCCAAGGTGCGTCAAGTCCCAGTGCTCACTCTGATGCCCCCAATTTCCCCAGAGGCATTATGCCTTACAAAGGCAAAATGCCTCCAGGCACTGCCACTCAACCAATGCACTCTTCCCCCTTCCCAGTGTGGTTCAGACTTTTAGGAGTCATAATTGAGCCCCATGGGCCTGATTCTGAGCTCAGTGAATTTATCAATTTAACTATATCATTCCTTATTAGTGTGCCTATTACCATAATATCTTTGTGCTCTCTAACTCAAGCTAAACCAATGGAAAATTCTGACATTAATGGAAATGCACTTAGCTTATGCAACTGAGAGATCTGAATCTGGCCCAGTATGTTGTTGGGGGGGGGGGGGCGGGAGCGA